AGTGAGCCAAAAGGAGGGCCAAGTTCTCCCGCAAATGGGAGCAGGGAGCACTCAGAACTGTGGACGCTCCAAATCGACAAACTCCCAGCAACCACGTCTTGGCGAAGTTCCCATCCCACTGCAGACTCACAAAACGTGCTCCTTTACACACTTTTCACCTCGAGGTCTTCTCGGGCAAGAAGGCATTTTCCTTCTCTTTTCTGGGCTACCAACATCAACACAACACGGACACCTAAAAAGCCAGGAGGTCAAAACGAACACGCGTCCGATTTGTAGGCGTTTTCTTTACGAATAGAGCTAAACCGCACTCGTGTTCCCGGCCAGCCGGACTCTTCGGGACGCTCGCTGGGAGGGGAAGTTAGGGGCGAGGTGGGTGCAGGCGGCTTTCCACTCGGGGGAAAAAAGTCAAGGACTAGCTCAGGTGGCCGAAGGAGGGGCTTCACTGGGCTAAGTGGTGGTCGGAAGGTAAGCCTGGCCGTTGCTAAAGCCAGACCCGGCTGGGAGGCAAGACCTCATCCGAAGGGCGGCAGGTAAGCGGGCGCTCAGGTGGGGAGAGGTGTTTGATGGGGTCCTTGCCGCCCGTAACGTGGGAAGATCGGCGGAAATTAGCAAGTAGAGAAGGAAGGGAGACACCGAACACCAAACACGTTGGCGGAAAATCAAATGTTTAAGGGGGGAGTGGGTGTCCAGGCATGGAGGGGAAACGTGGTTCACACACACGCCCCAGGGGCCCCTGGGCCCGGAGGCCGGCCGCGGAGGAGAAGGCTCTGCAGGCGCGGGGGCGCGCGGCCCCTGCGCTCCCCGGGGCGCGTCGACCGTACCCCTTACCTTTGAGCTGGGGCAGGGGGTGCAGCTCCGCCTGGTTGCCCTGGCTGCGGAACTGCGACGAGCCCTGCGAGCGCTTCTGCCGCTGCGCCTTGCGCACCGATTTCCGGGTGAAGCCGTCCACTTTCTCCGAGGCCGAGATGGCGGCGCAGGCAGCCCCCGGCGGCGGCGGCGGCGGCGGCGACGACATCTCCGCGGCCCTGGCGCTTGGCAGCTCCGGCGGCTGCTTGCACGGCACGGGCAGCGGCGGCAGGAGGCGGAGGAGGAGGCGGAGGAGAGGCGCGGGGAGCTCGCGCCCCTTCGCCCCGTCGTCCCCCGAGCCGCACCGCCCTCCCGCTCCCGGGTGCCGCCGAGCTTCTCCTCGCCGCCCGCCAACGCCTCACGGCCACATCGCCGTCCCGGAGGTTCCTGGTCCCCGCCGCGCGGCGAGCTCCCGGGGCTGGCGGAGGGAAGGGCGGGGGCGGAGGGGGGTGAAGAAGTTGTTGACTCCCGGCGCGCAGGGCGGGTGGAAAGGCGCCCGAAGTTTAGACAACTGAGGCGAGGGCGCGGGTGTGCGGACGCCGAGTGCGCCTCTCGTCCCTTCAGCCAGGTGGCCAGCCGGCCGGCCGGCTCGCACTTCAGTGGCCACTGCCGGCGCTGCCCGTCCTGCCTGGAGCCGCCTCCCGGGGC